GGACGACAATGAGAAGTTAGTAACCCATGTGAAACTCATTCCAATTTCCAAAATGTGTAGGTTTTACTATTTTATTGGGTTTCATACTTAAATCTCAATCCAAAAAATACTTATTATTATTATTATTTTTTATCGGTAACACCTTACTTTGCATCCTGGCGGGCCGGACCCTGGTGCGCGGGTAAGGTGGGTTGGGCCGAAATAATTATAAAAAAAATTAAAGCCCAACAGCCCATTGCAAGTGAAAGCCCACACGACTTTCCTTGTCCCTCTTCTTCTTCTTTCCAGCCCATTGCAAGTGGGCTAACTTTCCTATTTGTTTCTCTCTTCTTCTTACTTTTCTATTTGTTTCCCTCTTCTAGATTATTTCTAAACCCTTCTCGGTAGGGTTTTCGCATCCGCCCCAAATCTGCCAAAATGCAAGCTCACCCTAGGTTTCTTTCATCCGTAAACATGCATACGGATCTCCCCGCGATTCTGGTCCCCGATAGATTTACTTAACGTTACATTTTTCTTCCGATTTTTCTTATAATTGTGTCCCCTTACTTAACGTCACATTTTTCTTCCGATTTTTGAGTATAAACTAGAATAGGCTGTTTGTATGAGAGTGAATTTATTCTGACTAAAGGCCGATCCTTCATTTGTGTGCAAGCATTAACAAGTGTTCGTTGTTTAACCTTGTCCCTACGAGTTTTAAATGATCCTGTGAAAGTCCTTGTAGCTTGCATTTAATGCAATGAATTTTGATTAATAGTTAATAAAAACTATTCCCTACGAGTTTTAATGCATTTACTATGTAATTTAATATGAAAATTACATAATTAATAAAAGATGTTAGTTGTTCATGTCAAAATCATGCAGTCTCTATCAGGAAAAAGATATGTGTGAATTGTTTCATCAAATAAAAGAGCTGAGAAAAATGTGAGTCCAGAAGAACTTCATGTCCTCACATGTCCTCATGTCCTGCTCCTCTTACCGCAAATGTTAGTCCTTTATATATCTCATTCTTCCTCCAACATATAGGATATATGTGTGTTGACTGCCAAAATAATATATATTTATCTTCAATTATTCTTAATTTTTGCCGAAATAATTAGCTTGTATTATATGTTTATACTTCATATTAGGTTCAGCCTTGCCCTTCACTTTACCTCCTCGCTCATCAGAGGACATGATATAAAAATGCACGATTGAGAGTTGAAGAAGAGTAATGGTCTTGTGGGGTGGCAATACTTTGCCCCCGCACATCACGTTACCTAACGGTCCACAATGCTTTGGAATCCGTCTCCACAAGACGCACTGAGGATTAAGGATTGGGAGCTGGATGTATAGGATTGGGAGCTGGACTACATCTACGGGAACCCCGGAGATGCAGCGGGATCTTCTATTATTTTTTCCCGATCTCAAAGTCCTGCATCTCAAAGTCCTGCATCTTATTGGTCCTCGAAAAAAGACTTCGAGCCTGTATCGAGTTTTGGCTTTATGAATTCTTCGCGTGTTGGGGTTTCTCTTCTTCCATTTCATGAAGCTAATATTGAATGCAACTACTCAATTGGCCGGTAAGCTCCAATGTCAGGAGGTTAGGGTTTTTGCAGGGTGGGCCCCGACTAGCTATACTCGACTGAGTTTTACATCGATGAACAGGAATGTTTGGAACATGGGACGGGAGGTGAATCTCTATTACGCGATAAATAAAATGATAATATAATATTAAAGAACAATATAATATCAATGTCGCATGGTAGAGATTCACCTCTTGTACCATGTTCTTCATCGATGTGAAATCCAAGCTGGTCGGGGCCCACCTGCAGAGAAACCCTAACCCTGACAACATTGGAGCTGGCATACCGGCCAATTGAGTAGCTGCATTCAATATTAGCTTCATGAAATGAACGAAGAGAAACCCTAACTGATACCCGTGCGCGAAGAATACATAAAATCAAAACTCGATACAGGCTCAGAGTCTTTTTTCGAGGGACCAATTAGTCCGATGCAGGACTTTGAAATCGGAAAAGAATATTAGAAGATCCCGCTCCATCTCCGGGGCCAACTGCCCGTAGATGTAGTCCAGCTCCCAATCCTCAGTGCGTCTCCATGGAGACGGGTTCCAAAGCATTGTGGACCGTTAGGTAACGTGATGTGCGGGGCAAAGTATTGCCACCCCACAAGACCATTGCTCTTCTTCAACTCTCGATCGTGCATTTTTATATCATGTCCTCTGACAAGCGAGGAGGTAAAGTGAAGGGTAAGGCTGAACCTAAGATTAAGTATAAACATATAATACAAGCTAATTATTTCGGCAAAAATTAAGAATAATTGAAGATAAACATATATTATTTTGGCAGACACACACATATATCCTATAGGTTGGAGGAAAAATGAGATATATAAAAGACTAACAGTGCGGTAAGAGGAGCAGGACATGAGGTTCTTCTGGACTAACATTTTTTTTTTCTCAGCTCTTTTATTTGATGAACAATGGGATTACAATTCACACATATCTTTTCTCTACATGATTTTGACATGAACAACTAACATCTTTTATTAATTATGTAATTTTCATATTAAATTACATACTAAATGCATTAAAACTCGAAGGGAATAGTTTTTATTAATTATTAATCAAAATCCATTGCATATGCAAGCTGCATGGACTTGCACAAGATCATTTAAAACTCGTAGGGAAAAGGTTAAACAACGACCACTTGTTAATGCTTGCACACAAATGAAGGATCAGCATTTAGTCAGAATAAATTCACTCTCATACAAATAGCCTATTCTAGTTTATACTCAAAAATCGGAAGAAAAATGTAACGTTAAGTAATGGGACACAATTATAAGAAAAATCGGAAGAAAAATGTAACGTTAAGTAAATCTACCGGGGACCAGAATCGCGGGGAGATCCGTATGCATGTTTATGGATGAAAGAAAACCTAGGGTGAGCTTGCATTTTGGCAGATTTGGGGCGGATGCGAAAACCCTACCGAGAAGGGTTTAGAAATAATCTAGAAGAGGGAAACAAATAGAAAAGTAAGAAGAAGAGAGAAACAAATAGGAAAGTTAGCCCACTTGCAATGGGCTGGAAAGAAGAAGAAGAGGGACAAGGAAAGTCGCGTGGGCTTTCACTTGCAATGGGCTGGAGGACTTGGGCTTTAATTTTTTTTATAATTATTTCGGCCCAGCCCACCTTACCCGCGCACCAGGGTCCGGCCCGCCAGGATGCAAAGTAAGGTGTTACCGATAAAAAATAATAATAATAATAATAAATTCTAAGTTATTCTGAAAACTCTCCGTCACAGTGCGTCTCAAAAGATGGGGTCCAAAGCATTTGATGTGCGGGGGCAAGTTATTCTGAGCGAAGTAGTCTTCCGATAGATATTTTTGGGAACCCACAATTGTCGCGTGGTGTCCGTCTTACGGGAACTTCTGTAGGCCAAAGTTTTGTAGTACCTATGTAGTGTAGTCCTAAGTCTGGTGGTGTTGCTATGCCCTCTTTGGAATTTGGAGAACTCTTATTGCTGTGGTCTGTTTGTGTTTGAATTTTGTGGCAGACAATGTTCTCTATAATTAATTACTGCTACTGCTTTTCTATTGCTTGAGTTTTGACTTGATCTCTATAATTGCTTGAGTTTTGACTTGATCTATGTGACCTTGGTGGTTTGGCTAGCCGGATTTATATCACAGGTTCTTGAATACATCTAATCAGCCGGCTCCAGGTTTATATCACACAGGTTCTTGAATCTCTTGGGCAAGTTGCCCAATCAATTGGGGCTCATTTTCTTTATTTTTCGTATTTTTTTATTTAAATGTTTTATGAAATTTTAATTAAAAGAAAATACAATTAGGTTTATACTTCTTCAATTTCACTATAAATTTGATATTATATTGTTCTTTAATATTATATTTCTATTTTATTTGTAATTTATTTTTATGCCAATCAAATTTATTAAAAATATTGTATTATCTCATTTGCGATGTGGATTGTGGTGGGTCAATGAAAAAAATAAAATTATGAGATTTTAAATTATGAGATTTTATAATATTGAGAATGAATATTGAATGATTTGTCTAGGACTTCAGAATTTCTAGAGACGGTTATATTATTGAGAATGAATATTGAATGATTTGTCTAGGACCTTAGAATTTCTAGAGACGGCTCTGCATTTAATCGTCCTTATATTGGATTAATTAAATCATCATAGGCCCTGCATCTAATCGTCCTCATATTGGATTAATTAAATCATCATAGGTCATAAAATCAGGCTAGCACGCTCATCCTAGATGAGCTCCGTTAATCAAGTCAACACAAGTAGTTATTCTAGACAAGGCTCGGTTAATCAGGACATCACAATTCAAGAGCATATTATAGATCAAGTCTAATCTAATACCATGTTAATATTTACTAGTACGCTACCCGCGCGTTGCGCGGGCTTGATATTAAAAATGATGGGAATGAATGATAATTAATATAAAAATATTTTAAAAAACATCTATTGATATAACGTAGACTAATTTTTTTACTAATCCAATAAATATACTTCCACAAATATAACATTAATATAGCATTAATAGTAGATGAGTTGTGTTCATTATCACCAACAGTAATAACAATAATTAGACAACATGGATTCGTGACTATAGAAACAATAAAAACGTATAATTGTTGTAACTAAAAAACTCAATATATTTTTTCTTAAAATTTTAAGAAATAAATTCATAAGTTTACAAAAAAATGTGATATACTATGAAAAAAATTATTTGTCACATTAATGACACTCATTCAGAATTTTTCATAAAAATGTCTACGTGATAACATAATTCCATAGGTACAAAAAATAAAGTCATAATTACTATTCTACAAATAAAGTAATATATTAATAATTAAAGTTAACATGTACGAAGATGAGTAAATTAAATTTATAAATATAAATTAAATACTTAAGAAAAAAATAAAAATGACTTCTATCCGCATGTATTTAATTTTAAATTAGGTCCACATATTTTTTACTTTTTTTATTAACAAAATAAATATCAACATTTCAATTTTTTTGCAAAATAAGTGCGATGGTGATTAGAGAATGACGTGGAAGATTGATCATTTTTCGTAAAGTTATAAATAGACCAAGTAATTGCACAAATCAATGGGATTACAATTCAGTGTAATTTTTAGAAACGCTCGTTGACAAATTTTTGTAAAGTAATAAGAAAAATACATTTAAATTATATTATATAATATTAAAAAAACATTATTGTGAAATTAACATTGTGATAGATGATAAGGAAAAAGTGGTTAATGCATTATAATAAGTTCTGTTTAACTTTATCTACTACAACATTCAGTTGCAATAATATGCTTCTATTAAGAAAAATTAAACGGTAACTGACACATTATGCTATTTTTATTCATAAACAACATTATTGTGTATTTATTAAAAAAAATAAGGGAGGTCAATTTTCACCAACTTTTACATAACCTCAAATTTAAGCTCAATTAAAATAAATGAAACAAATAATTTTCGGATCAAAATATTCAGTCAATAGTATCATTTCGTCTTCATAGTCAAAACTACATTATCACTTTTTATCTCTCTTCTTGTTGTTGAAATTCTCACTCTTTCTGTTATCATTTTCTAATTTTTTTCATTTCACAATATTCTTATATTGCTTACCCATAAATGAAACTAAATTAGATGCTATGTCCGAACACTAAATCAATTACTTTTATGTTGTATACAAAATATGAAAATAAATGTTCACCTCATTGTACAAAATACAAATTTATGTCCGAACACTAAATCAATTATTTTTATGTTGTACACAAATTATGTAAATAAATGTTCACCTCATTGTACAAAATACAAATTTATGTTTATATATATTGAATTATTTTTTATTATATACTTTAAAGTTGTAATTTTTATTTTCATAATAATGTATTAAGAAAATAATCAAGATGATCACCGTCAATGTTAGATCAATAGCTAAAACTTATTTTTCATGAAATTTAAGATAATTGTGATTAACTTATTAATTAGAAATACAAAATTATTTCCAAATATCAATAATAATAATAATAATAATAATAATAATAATAATAATAATAATAATAATAATAATAATATAAGTCTAAAACTAAAAAGTAAAATTGACAATTGTGATATATGATGAAGAAAAAATAGTTGTTGCATTCGTAGTAAGTTGTAGGACTTTATATGTCGCAACGTTTCGATAAAGATGATACATTATCGTCATTCTTAAGAAAACAATATACGATATACAAATAAAACATTAACAATGAAATTAACTTGCTCTGCCTCATAAATTATAGTTCTATACTTTTGGACCAATAAAAAAAATTAATGAAGGCGAAAACTTTATGCGCGCATGTGTTTAAGTGGACTCTTCAATATTTTCATGAATAAAATAAATTATACCAACTAAAAATAATAAAATACCAAAACAACATGAAACGACCTAATATATAGTTGAAAATTTGTTGAACAAATGAATTATATATATGCATTTTTCTTTTCAGCCTTCACAATCAAATCCATGAGTTGTCTCTTTGAAATGATGTCATATCTCTTTTTTTGTACGCTATCATTTGTGGATTTTGTTATCTTTTTACAATATTAGTTATAAAATAATAGTCTATTATTTATCTATAAAGTACAGTCAACTTCATGACATTTTCGAATTCTAAGATGTCTTAGTTTTCTTTTCTCTTGTTTTCCTTGTTTTCATATGCATGGTTTATTAGTAAAAGAAACTTCAATCCATATAGTTCTTGAATTTTCTTTTACCCAAGTAAAGTCTATTCAACATTTTCGAGATCAATTTTATATGGATATGAAAGATCATCCCCAAAAGCTATAGATGATATTTAAAAAAAATACATTTTTTTAGTTGAATAAATTGTATTATTTATGATAAATATAATCTCATTATTTGTTACCTCTCTCTATTTGTATTGCATTTGTTATTTAAAAAAATATATTATAAAATCAAATAAACAAAAGTATGAAATTTAGAAGTCTAAGTTCGCATTTTTATTAAAAAAGAATGGCACGTTGACTTTACTAAACCTTACTCCAGCTCACATAAGAGTTTGTGAATGATTAGACTTTTTACAATTTAAATGAAAAGATATTGTTTAGGAATGAGGTACTCAATAAAAATAATTTAATGGTTACTTGTATTTCTTAGAATTACATAGAGATATGAAATAATATAATATTAGATTAATAAGAGATGATTACATATTTTATTAATGTGTACGTAAATTCCATCATATTAGAGTATATGTGTCAAACATGACATGGTGCTACTATTAGATATTTATGTGTTAACATTGAACATGTGTATGTTAAAATAAACAACATAGAATTATAAATTGACATATCAAATCTAAAAGTTTATCTATATATATGGAATATAGATACCGAATTAAAAACTATAAAAATATTTATTTATTATATTACATGCAGATATTGTCTTAGTTATGACTTTTTCTATTTTACCTTGAAATATTCCGAATATAACGGAAAAAATTAATATTGTGTTTGATGTTCAAAAATAAATAAAAATATATATTAAAATAAATGATTTTAAATAAAAAATTTATTTTAAAATTATTTTAATGATTAATTAAATGAGATTGATAATTTATTTTTATAAGAAAAAATATAATATATAAGGAAAAGAACTCATACTCACAAATGAGAAGAGAGACAAATAATAAGTGGGATATTGGAATAAGAATTCATAATAAATAATTATGTATAGTATTAAATATTATTTTTTACAAATAATTATGTCACTCACAAGGCATAAAAATATTTAACTGAAATTTGTACAATAATTGATTATGACTAAAATAAGTATTTATTTATAACAAATAATTATGATATTGTTTGAATGATAAATAATACACATAAATTAACAAAATTTATTTCATGGTTATATAAGTAGTTGAAGCATTTATTTAGCCAAGAGAAATTGGAGTGCAAATTCCAATACAATTATGAATACAAATTATTTGTTCATATGTAACAAATATTTTTTTATTGATAAATCATGCATAGAAATTGATAAAAATTTATTTCAATGTAGTAAATGTAGTTTTTGATGAAAATTTTACATAAAAGTTGGTAAAATTTATTTCTAGTAATTAATATAATTTTGGAGGGAAAATTCCAGCTGCTTCAGTTTAATATATATATAGATATATTCAAGGACATCAGAATTCTAGAGCATATTATAATCAAGTCTAATCTGATACCATGTTAATATTTATGTATTCAAGATTTGTTCTGATACCACATTAGACTCATGTATTAAGGAGAAGAATATACCGTGTATTAAGGGTAAGAAGTGAGGTCCCATACGGGTGAAATGCAACTCTAGAAAACCATCTCAATTGCCACATAATGAAATTTCATCCCACACCAATTAGTAGTGGAAGAAAATTGCCCACATTTTTAAACAGGGTACATTTTTCTTATTCAATAAATGTGGAACAAATCACAAATGTTTTTCTAACTCTGAATACTAGAAATAGAAGAAAAACATGAACAAGAGGAACTATGAACAGTTGATACTTGTTGGAAGACCAATTTTGCGTGGTGAAAACTTAAATTTACAGAATGTGAAATGTCCACATTGAAATACCATTTTCTGACTACCTAGCTTCTCTTGACAAACTGGGCATGATACTGAATCTACTCTTATTATGCTTCTTCCATTGGCCGAGGGCAATGTGGCTTCACTTACAGACAAGGTAATCGGGATTTCTGATTTCGAGTGTTGATTTGATTGCACCAAATCCTGGCAAAAGATATTTATGTATCAGTTTGATCATGAGTAATGATGAGTAGGATTTTTTTTTAAAAAAAAAGAAAAAGAAAAAAAAAAGCATATACCACAAGTCATAAATTTGTTTTTAGGGTCATAAATATGATGATGTTTGCTCGCAGGAAAATATATTAGTTTCTAACGGGAAAGTATGATTTAGAGGAAAGATCATTAAATATCGTAACAGAATTAAAAGTGGTTTTTTACCTTCAAGTAGCGAAGTTGCCCTTTTATACGTGACAATGAACCTAACGCTATAAACTTTTTGCTAGAGTTTTCAACACTAGCTATATCCAACTCTTCTGAACTTGAAGCATCAATAGATTTATCATCCTCGTTTTCTCTAAGGCGTAACCTTGACGTAGCCATCATTAGTTCATCATGAGCACGAAAAACTTGTGCCTGAGCAATTGCTAAAGATCTCGCTACAGCATACTCCTTGCGCAGGGCCTGAAAAATTTTAGAGAAATACAAACGAAAAAAGATGTACCATTATTAAATTTTTAATTACCAATCTCCAAATTTAAGCGAATAAAAGTCAAAACCACTTCATGAATAGCAAGCTAACCAGAGAAAAATATATTTACCATACCTCAAGAAGATCAAGCTGTTTTCTTGCTGTCAACATTCTCTCTTTTTCAAGGATTCCCCTGGAGCTGTTTCTGATAATCGTCAACATAATCTCCAAGTCAGATGGTGACTTTGAGACATGCTAGAATAATCATACAGGGGCGGAGCCACCCATGGGCTAGGGTGGGCTCCAGCCCCAGGTAAAATTAAAAAAAAAAAAAAAAAATTATATTTTACATTATTTTTGTTATTAGCCCCATCTAATTTTTAAGTTAGCCTATTGTTTAGCCCACACAATACTAAAACTCCAAAAGAGAAGCCCATAAAAACTAAACCCAATACTTCTTCTTTTTTTTATGGCCCATTTATCCCAATCTTGCGCCTAAAAAATATTAAAAGACCAAAGAATTAAAAAAAAAAAAAAAAAATTCTTACCTCAGTTTCGTCCTACAGCCACAGGCCCACAGCACACTGCACACTCATCCCCAATTGCCCCATCCAATCCACGGGTTTCATCCTCCAAGAAAAACGAGCAGCCCTCGGTTTTACTCCTCGCCGTCAATCCCTCCGCCCCGTCCCCAACCCTCGATTTCACTCCTCGCCGCGACGCCGCCCGGTCCTACAGCCACAGAGCCACTTACCTCGCTGAGTCGCTGGTAAGAAATCGAACATCCAATTTAGATTAGAAATTTGTAGTACCCTATTCAATAACATGGTTTTATGTGGTTTGTGAATAATTCGATTGATTTTTGTTTTTGGTCTTGAAGTATTAATTTTTTCTATTGAAGTATTCTGAACCCTAAGTGAACATATTTTTTGGGAATTTTGGTCTGTTGAAAAAATTGGCTGCATTTGTGAATTATGGAAAACTACTGACCTGTATAGATTTATGTTCCTACATCCGCACAAATGGTCAAATTGGAATTTATTTGGTTTGCTAATGGTGTCTGTTTTGTGTAAATTAATCTCAAATACTTGTTTGATTTTCGTTGTTATGTTAAAATTATGGTAAAAATATGAGCTTATGGGGAATAGACATCAATTTCCCTTGCACGTGGTCTCAAGTTTTTCCAAATCCTGCCAACTGGTTTGCATTGTTTTTTATTTGCTAAATTTGTCTTGTAGCTTTAGTTCATGTGGAACAAGGTAGTCACAGTAAAGTAAGAATAGATTGATATTTTTTTGTCTTGTAGTCTTAAGTTTTTGTCCATTTAAATTATATCTTATTAGTAAACTCTACCTTGTGTTATTGGGCATTGAAATTATTTATACGAGGTGGAAAAATGGAAAAATAAAATTGTTCTTTGATGTACTTGTTTCACTTGCATTATCTAATTTATATTAAAATTTATACCAATTTGGGAACATGTTTTTAGCTTAATTGTACTTGTTAATACTAGTTGATCATGTACTCATTCTTATAAAGGTGTGGATGCTTGGCATTCATAATATGATTGTGTACAAAAAACCACAATACATTCTTGATTACCTTTTTTTATTTTATTATTTTTTTTAGTTTGCTTCTATCACCTAAATGCTTAAGTAATTTACTATTTTTTGTTAACTTGATAGGTTTTAATTATAATGGAGGGTCAAGGAACGAAGAAAAGAAAAACTATCAATTCGTTCTTTAAGCCAAAAGAGCATACGTCGACAAGCGGAGATCGTCCTTCTAATGATGATGTTGCCGCCTCTATTGATATGAGCTCTCTTGAACGTGACCCGGCATTGCGTACTCCAATATGGAAATGTCCCGTCAATCAAAGAGATGAAATTAGACGAGCTTATATTAAGATGGGACCGTATCAACCTATCAAGAAAGAATATCCACTGACGCCATTTGGAGCTCAAAATCGGAGATTTCAAAGCAATTGGTTCAAGAAGTTTACTTGGTTAGAGTACTCTCCTTCTAGGGATGCTGCATTTTGCTTCCCGTGTTTCTTATTTGAAAATAAACAAGCTCGAGATTCACCATTCACTACAGAGGGATTCAAGTATTGGAAGCGAGTTAATGACGGCGACAGATGCTCCTTCTTACAACATGTTGGAGGCCCTACTTCATCACATAATAATGCTGCAGCCTCTATTGATTGTTTGATGAATGTGCCTCATCATGTTGATAAGATAATCAATGCACAAACTTTAGAGGAGAAACAAAAGAATAGATTGCGTCTAACAGCAACTATTGAAAGCATCCGATGGCTCACTTTGCAAGCATGTGCATTCAGAGGACATGATGAATCTACATTATCAACTAATCGTGGAAATTTTATCGAAATGATAAAGTTCATGGGAAGAATGAATGATAGCATTGGAGACGTAGTCTTAGAGAATGCTCCAAGAAATGCGAAGTATACTTCTCCAGAAATTCAAAAAGATGTTCTAAATATTCTTGCTCACCAAGTGAGATCCAAAATTCGTGAGGAAGTTGGAGCCGCGAAATTCTGCATTTTAGTGGATGAAGCGAGAGATAACTCCAACAGAGAGCAAATGGCGATTGTGTTGAGGTTTGTCGATATTGATGGCTTTATAAGAGAACGTTTTTTTGCTATTGTTCATGTCCTTGATACAACCGCCGCGACGCTAAAGAAAGAAATATCAGATGCTCTAAATCGATATGATTTGCAAATTCAAAATATGCGGGGACAAGGTTATGATGGTGCTAGCAATATGCGTGGCTCGTGGGGTGGATTGCAGGCTCTATTCTTGAAAGATTGTCCGAGTGCATATTACGTGCATTGTTTCGCGCATCGACTTCAACTAGCATTGGTTGCAGCTGCTGAAAAAGAGGTATCCATTTGGTTATTTTTTTCAAAATTGAATGCTATCGGTAATCTTATAAATGCCTCTCCCAAACGCCATTGTGATTTGCAAGTTGCTCAAAAAAATAAAATTGCATTGGAGATAGCAATGGGGCAGCGTGAGACAGGTAGAGGGAGTAATCAAGTTGGGAATTTACTCAAGCCAGGAAAAACTCGGTGGAGTTCTAATTTTGACTCACTTAGTAGTATGATAGATATGTATAGCTCCGTGATTGTTGTGTTGGAGAAAATGGTGGATGAGGGATCTTCTAATTCCATTCGAGGTGAAGCGAGTGGTTTTTTGATTGCAATGAAGTCTTTTGATTTTATATTCATATTATACTTGATGCAAAAGATAATGGGAATAACAAATTTACTTTGTCGGGCATTGCAAGAGAAGTCTTTAGATATTTTAAGTGCAATGGACAATATTTCATCTACTAAAACGTTACTTCTAACGTTGAGAGAAGAAGGTTTTGGTACCCACCTTCAAATTGTGAAGGATGTTTGTGTCAAGTATGATATTGAGGTGCCTCAAATGGAAGCTCTCTATAAATCTGCTACACGCCGTTCAAGTCATCAAAGTGATTCAATCACAGTTGAGCATCATTATCATTTTGATGTATTCAACTCCGCAATAGATTTTCAAATTGAAGAGATAAATAGTAGATTCAAGGATGAAGCAGTTGAACTTCTTAAGCTTAGTTGTGCCTTGGAACCGAAAGAAGGCTTTAAATTGTTCAATGCGGATCATATTCATCGTCTTGCCGAACGCTTCTATCCTTTTGATTTTGATGGTCAAGATTTGCTCCACTTAAGATTGCAATTGAACCATTACGAGCTTGATATCATTACTAATGAGAGATTTCAAGACTTATCTACTATTTCTGAATTATGTCGAAGATTAGTTGAGACAAATAAGTCAAAAATCTACAACTTGATTGACAGGTACAACCGAAATTGTCTTTAAGTCATTTTTGTAAATTAAGTTCTAGTATATTTATTCGATTTAATTTATTTAATTTATTTTTCAGGTTAATTCGTCTTGTTTTGACTCTTCCTGTGTCTACGGCAACTACAGAGCGAGCGTTTTCGGCTATGAAACTTGTCAAGACTGTTCTTCGTAATAAGATGGAAGAGGAGTTTCTGGCGGATTCCATGACTATTTACATTGAAAGGGAGTTAGTCGAAAAGATTAGCAATGATACTATAATTGTCGAGTTTGAAACTAAAAAAAATCGGAGGTCGCAATTTCATTAGCCCCAGGTATTTCAAAATTCTAGCTCCGCCCCTGTAATCATACAAATGAAAATTAGAATAATTTGCTTTGACTAATATTCAGGTCAAATTTATCACATCCGTACACATTATGCTAATATACAAGAAGACATATGTCCAGAACAAAATTTTAACAGTGCTTTTATATAGGTTATTTGGTTTAAAAAGTATGGACCCTCAGCACATAGTGGTGCAGTTACCAAAATTGACAAAAACTATGAAATTTAAATATCAGTAATTATACCAAAAACAAAAAAAGAAAAAAGAAAAACATAAACAATGGCGAGCTGTAAAACTGTTGGATCAATTTACAAAGAGCCAGGACGTAATAAGCTTCGACAAAGCAGATCGATAATGCAATAACGAACCGCCACTTTCTCTCCCGCATCCCTCTTCTTTCCATCATCTTTGTGTTCAGCAGACAAACTAGAACTTTTGTCTTCACGTGACAAATTCCAAAAGAATTGATTCAGAGCAGATTTCTTCTTTTGTTGAGACGAAATAGTGTAGCTTCATAAACCTAGTCGGAGCCAATTAGGAAGTTAAAAAAATGCACATGTCATAAAGAGACGATATATGCAAAGATAGTAAGATAGAAACCTGAAACATTTCATCCAACTCACAATGCGTGCGTGCAGGACCATCATAATTACAGTTGCATTTTTTGCAGTATCTCACAAGCGCAATATCCTCTTCCCTGGGATTTTCCATTGCTCGGTCTATTTCCAACAGTCGATCAAGTAGAGTTAGAGTTCCTTCTCGACTCTTCCAGAGCATCCAAACCAGTTTGAATGTAGTAGAGTTGTTATGCTGCGTGAGGTTTAAAACACAAAATAATGTATATTTTGTTATTGGTAACTTATAACTGTGTGTGGCAGGTGACTGAAAATATGAGAACAAGTGAACATCATATACATCGCTCAGTCCAAGAACATTCTCCACAGAGGCTTATAACTGAGCATGGCTGGCATTATCCATGGGTCATTTTTTTTTCCCCCTTATTATTGGTGAAGAAAAAGTAAAAAAGGAAATTGATAAATTTTTTATTATGAAAGAAAAATTTAAATAGTGGGTACTTGGAATTACATCACCAACTTAAAAAATCGTGAGAGCTTTAAATATTTAATTATTTTATTTTAAATATTATTTTAATATATTCACTAACAATTAATTATACTAATTTTTTTTTTAAAAAAAAACTATAGTTAAAAAAAATGCAATTAATTTATAGATGAATTCAGAAGCAAAAGCAATTCAATTAGAAATGAGTGAACAAAATGCCACGTGTCATCAAAAGAAACCCACCAACTGGCAACTGCCGCTTATTAGAACAACGAAACCCTAACAACCCAAATCCAAATCGAGAGCGTCCACCGCCCACCTGCCACTCACGGTGCTCTGGCTGACTGGCTCTGCAAATCGGCTAGCCCTCGGCCCGCTTCAGTCCCGACGTCCCTCTACTGCCCTCAAGTTCAGGCATTGATGGCTAAATCTTTGACTGTTTGAATGTTTTTTCTTCACGGGTGGGTAAATTTGAGAAAGAGTTTGCAGAACACGAATAATCGATTTAATGTAGGAGTCCAAAGTAGTTGTGAAAGGTTATTCATTATTTGAACGGGGGATCTGCTGCTGTTGGTTGTTGGAAATTGCAGATATGGAAATCGTCTCAAACACCACCAATCTAATTCCCGATAAAGATAAAGAAGGTCAGCCACACGCTCCCTGCAATGACAATTTGATGCTTCTGATCCAGCATTTTTGCAATAAAACCCTCGACTGCTCAGTAATCTCAACCAAAGACAACTCTTTCAAAGTGCTGCAAGATGGTGATGATGATCTTCCAAACGTGTCTCTACTCAAAACTGACAACTACGATCCCTTCGATAAGAGGGCCGATTATGATGTTCTAGCGAGTTGCGACTCATGGATGCTGTTGACATGTAACAGAAATCCTGAATCTCCATGGGACTTCCTGTGGGACCCCATAACCGACGAGAGAAAATCCCTTCCGTGTTTTTCTTTGGATTCTCCTCGTTTAACGAGGATTTGGGCATACGGGTTTGGGTTTGATCCAGAAGGGGGCTATAAGGTGGTCAGATGTCGCGCCAGAGACCTTTATACTCCCGAAGAGAAGGTCTACGCTGAGCTGTTGTCGCTTGAAAGTGGTTCATGTAAGGAAATTCCGTGTCCTTTTTACTTATTCACTGAAGGTAAACCTTCTCAAGTACCATCTATTCACATCAATGGCTTTTATTATTGGTCAAGTATGAGTGGCATTATTTCGTTCGACTTTGCTAAGGAGGAGTTTAGCACTGCTATAATCCCTATGCCCGAGAGCAATAATATTTTCAAGGAATGGGAAGCTGCTTATCTTGTTGAGTTTGATGGGTCGCTTGCTGTAATTGTTTACGAGGATGATAAATTGTGGCCGGAAAGAAACGGAGTTGCTGCTGCTGAGCCTTTTATTTTTGAGCTTTGGGTGTGGGAGGCCTCGAGTTGGTCTCACAAGTACACAGAGGAAGTCCCGGCTGCAGCCGCTGTTTTTAGCGTAAAAGGCCTCTACAGGAAAGATAAAGTGCTTCTTGAGAGCTGCTATGGTGATCTACTGCTTTACGAGATTGAGGAGAAGAGATGGAATAAACTTGGTGGTATCCATGACGAGTTTATGGCTCTGACTGTCTTCCCATATGTTGCCAACGCCGAATCCAAATTGAAATCCTCAATAAATCTCCCGTCTGGTGCCAGTGACGTGGTAGCTATTGTTCCTGATACTATTCGGGCGCGCACCCGCAACTTGAAGCATAACAACAACAACAACAATAATCTTATGCTTATGGTGCAGTGTGTACTCAATTGGACCCGCAATTACTTTGTGCTGTCAACGGAAAACAAAAAGTTCAAAGTGGTACAAGATGAGAAGAGCCTTCCTAACTTGTCTCTACTCAAAGCGCAAAACTACGATCCTGTTTGTATGAATGCCAAGTATCACGTTCAAGCGAGTTGCAACACTTGGATGCTGTGGACATGTGTCGAGAATATCGCAAGTCCGGTGGAGCTTCTGTGGGACCCTAGGACCGACGAGCTCGTAACGCTTCCTTCTTTTGAGGCTGTGCCGCGCGTGCCTTGCCCAATTCACACGACCATGTGGGGTTACGGTATCGGGTGTGCATCGGGAGAATATAAGGTGGTCAGATGTCGTGTGTTTGAGTATTTTCGTTCCAACCGCCAAGTCCACGCGGAGCTGTTCTCGCTCGAAACTTGTTCGTGGAAGGAAATTCCGTATCCCCATGATCCCCAGCTCGAAGCCTTTCAGCATCCTTCGCTTCACATCAATGGCTTTTACTATTGGGTAGCAGTGCACGCCACCAAACCGTATCTTGCTGTTATTTCATTCGACTTTGCTAATGAGGAGTTTCCTCATGCTCTCATCCCTATACCGGAGAGCGAAATTCTCAGGGACATCAAGTTCAAGTTTGGCTGTGTTTCTCTTGCCGAGGTTCGTGGGTCGCTGGCCGCTATTGTTTTTGATTACTATGGACAGATGGAGAAAAGTAAAAAAGATATTGATGGTCGAAAGAAGAGGAAGAACACTAGTGAAGCTGCTGAGCCTTTTAGTTTCGAGATATGGGTATGGAATGACGGCATGTGGTCCCATGAATCCACACACAGTGTCGTCACTCCTCATACTGATGCTGGTGTTGTTTATAGGAGGGTCGTGGGCCTCTACAAGGATGATAAAGCACTTCTTCAGGACTCAGGGGGTTACCTATGGCTTTATGATTGCGTGACGCAAGATTTGGAGAGTTTCGGTTTCGGCATCTGTGATGATGCTTGTGCTCTGGTAGTCTACCCTTATGTGTGACTGTGAGAGTGATCATCTATATATCCATTAGGAAAGTAAGTGTTGTCCCCGTATCTTCTTACTGTAGCCCATCCTTCATATGGAAAATGTTGCTAATGTCTTATTTTCCTCAACTACCACCGTCCTCTCTTTCTATTGTTTATTTTGATTTCTATATCTATTATAAAAAGTTTGAAATCTTTTTCTCGAATTGATGATTTTCGCCCGTGACATTGATGTTTTTCGCCAAACAAAGAAAAATGCTCTTTCCTGGACTTTTGTGTGGACATTTAAGTGTGCATTAAATTGTTCTTTGCTGCCGTTGTGATTATGTATTAGACAATACCACTTCTGGAATGAACTTCATTTTAGATTTGAAAATGATAGATGGCATTTGTTCACTGTTTCGTTGTGGAGGCCTATTGAAACTTTGTTATTCAAGTATGTGTGTCACAGGTTTTGCCTATGTAACTGATTATGTCCGTAATGACGGGTGATTTATTTATA